CCTAGAGATGACGTGTCTTATAGCCATAACAACGGAAGCTTGGTATAGAGAGCAGGCTTTACAGGATGCACCTGATGCTAACAGTTTGGGTTTTTTGTGGGGGAGGGGATTGTTTGGTTTTGATCTCTCTACGTAGTCCTGGCTGTCATGGAACTCACTTTGTAGACAAGACAAGGCTGGCCTTGAACTCACAGAGATCCTCTTGCCTCTGCTTCCTGGGTGGTGGTATTAAGGACATATACCACCCTGTCTAGCTATTAAGTCAGTTTATAATTTGGTAAATATAACATAAAATTTTCCTTCTGAACCACTTTTGCTATATAATACAATAGCTGTTATCTGCATTACATTATTATACTGTTTAGTCTAGCAAAACTTAATCTGGGGTTAAGGGTGTATGCAGCTCATTGTAGAGTACTTGAATGGCATGCACAACGTCCTGGGTTAAGTCCCAGCTCTTCATAAAAGCTAAACTTAGTGGTTTGTGCTTATATTACCAGCACTTGTGTGGTAAAGGCAGGGGAATTGAAAATTCAATGTCTTTTTGGCTACATATCTAATTTAATGACAGGTTGGAATATGCGAAGTATATATCTGGGTAGGGGGAACAACCAGTCCTAACTGTATCATCAAATAAGAGTCCCCTTCCTTTCTTCCCTGAACTTGGCAACCACCATGTATTTTCTGTACCTAAAAGTCTGACTACTATAGATTTCTCATACAGAAAGAATCAAGTAGCAGATGTGTTTTTTATGATTGTTTTTTTTTTTTTTTGAAAAAGACTAGCGTGGGGGGGGCAAAGCAGAAGACAGGAAAGAGAAAGAGAAAGGAGGGAAGAAAGGGACATTAATTACTTTCCTGGTCCTGACAAACTATCTGAAAGAAACAACTTGAGGGAGGAGGAATTTATTTTGACTCTTGGTTGAAAGTCCATTCTTCTCCCACAAAGATGGACTGTACCAAAAGAACTCTTTCAGTGGCATCTTAGCAGTGGGATCTTGCTGAGGCTGGGGTTGGAGAGCAGGGCAAGGGTGGAGAGACTTGTTAAAACTCAGTAGATGAGGAAGCAGAGAAAGAAAGAAAGAAAGAAAGAAAGAAAGAAAGAAAGAAAGAAAGAAAGAAAGAAAGGGAGAGAGAGAGAGAGAGAGGGAAGGAAGGA